AACTTTGGATTTCTTTCTTTAGCCAGTTAACATCACATGACAGCAGTTTGAGAGGTACTATCCAAGGTGAGTACGAAACGTGCAACAGGGCTGCTCTCGTGGAGACATTGCAGAGGGAGTCCTACGCAAAGTGCAGAACACCCCCACCACAAGAGACCTCCTACCGAACCACAAGTCTCCAGCATGGTGTTGCAACCTGCAGAAGTTTGAACTAAGGGCCACGTTGGTGTCTTATTTTGGAACCAGGGACAGTCTACAGACAACAGAAACTGCCAAAGCTCTGAAACAGGTAAACAGTGCTAACCTGCCTAATTTGCAGCGTGTCCTTGGAGGTCCACCTACGTAACCTATAAAGTGTAAGTCTTGCTTGCAAACTGTCAAAAAAGGCCAAGGACAGTCTGGGCATTCTCCTAAGAAATTCTCTGCTCTTGATGCAAAAGAAACCCTTACCAACCAAAAAATGCCAGTGTCCTAACTGGATCCAAGTGTGTGAAATTTAATTTCCCTGAGGGCTGACAGTGAAGATTGGGTAAGAAAACTGGGACACGAATGGATTGGTTCATATGAAAACCTGAAACAGCCCTGGGCAGAAATTTGGAAGTATTGTGAAATACCATATAAGAAGAATCCATCTTCATATGCAGGTAGTAACTCAAGATGGGAGATGTAGCAATACAAACAGATATCCCAAAAGGTTCTACAAAGAAATATATACAAGGATTTTAATGAAATCTTCCCATTCTGTGGTGGGAATACAGGATGTGGCAATCCAATGCCATGGTGTTATGCAAATATTTGTACTAGATGACTTGGACAGAACTAATTAAAAGTCCAGATACTTTGAACCTATGAGATAGACAACACTGCTGATATTACTGATATCAGACAGCTGATGCTCATATGATCGACGTTAAACATCTTCCCATTTAGTTCTGATAGCCAGTTGAGGTTGTCTTAGCCTGGTGCACAATAACGTTTGGTAGATACCATACGGACAGCGTTAAGGCTGAGAGGTGAAGGAATGCCGACTCCAAGCAAAGGGTTCGATCCTACTGCAAGATGATAATGCACTGAAAGAAGGTTCAAATATCAGAACTAACAGGCCTGTGCTTCCTCTACTCATAATCATAAATCCTAAAACCTCAAACCGTTTTCCTCAGACTCTTTGGTGACCATAGGGAACAATGGGACAGCATGCATGTGCCTCAGCTCTCGGGGAGAAATGCTCCTTTAGCAGACCCTCATCTTGTATCCATCTTCCCTGGCATAAAAAATTTGAGTTTTATTCTGGGCAGCAGAAAGCAGACCTATTTTTAAAAATCTTTACTTGCAAAACCAAAATAATAAAAAATTTAGTGCATCCGAATCTTTAACAGATAACTTTGTGTTGCCAAGTATCATCCTGCAGATCTGGTAACTTCAAGTAAACCAAAGGTTGTTGAGAAGAGGAGGGCATGAGCTAGTTCAAAACAGAACAAATTCCCAAGACTCCTCCAAGAACAGAAACAATTTGTGTGGTCCGTTCACACGGACATATGAATAACCATCAGTTGACAACTCAAAAACAGGAGAAACAATCTGTATATGGGTGAATGCATCAAGGTCTACAGTGTTGGTGGAGAGAGCTGCACAAAAGGACACCTGCCCCCTCCTTAGGCATTTAAAGAAAATTACTACTTCTTTCAGCAGACTGACCTTACATTAGGTCTTCTTGGTAGATATACTGATTCAAATTGCCTCTTCTTGAAGCCTAAGTCTGGCAAATTGTATTATTCAGCTGCATGAGATCATGTCTGAGGCATGGTCTCACTGGTGGCTTAGGAGAACCTGAAGCCTGTTGACAAAATAAAATAATCATATGGGATCTTCCTTGTGAAAACAGTATGTTCTCCCTAGTTTGGAATATAACTGGGCTCCTTTGAGTTCCATGCTACTGGATTTTAAAATGAATTTTGGGGGGTTTTTTAGCATTATTTCAGCTTCAGAATTTAAAATTCTAGGACATTCAATTCAAACCATCTGTTAGATAAGCTGCTTGTCTATTGGATTGCTTCACTGTATCAATCTTTGGCCAAGACACAGATAGGCGCCGATTCCTTGCAATCACAAGAGCATTTGAGAGAAGCCCTCAACGGTCTTTCCACAGCAAAGGGAAATGGTCCCCACCCAAAGGGCAGGGACCCAGCATCAGTAGCAAGATGCTTTTATAGTCTCACCTGGGTTTCTTTGGAGGAATGAATGGATACCTTTCAGTAGGCTTTCTACATATCAAGTCACAAACCAGTTTGGGGGATCTAACAAAAGAACTATGGAAAATGAGCCCTGCGAGCTACAAGTCTTTACCTGATAGCATTTAAGGAACCCTTTTTAAAGTACTCTTTCCAATTCCTACTCTACTGTCCAAGAAGGAGAAAACAGAGAGGCACAAGATGAGATGCTACTGAACGCATAAGGAGAAGGAAGAGTACACTTGCTCCAAAGCAGAGACTGCTCTATCAGGATAGGTCTCCTTCACACCAGCAAGTCACAGTGACTCCAAAGCTGCTGGTTTGGATATCACCCTTTCAATCTCTCAAAGAAAGATGACTCTGGTACCTGGCCCACAGATGAAAGGTTCATTTTAGGCTTCTGGCCCTTAGACTACAGGTAATATGAGTCAGAAGCCTAATGACTTTCATGTCTCAACCTGTTAGATGCTGGAGCCTGCAACCTATGCCTTGACTCATCCCTGGAGCAGTGCTCTTTCAGGCAAGATAATCAAGACCTTATTTTTCATAGACAACACTTCATGTGACAGTAAGCCTCAGGAGGCTTCAACTGGCCCAAAGATATATATGAGATCCTGCCTTAGTTTTGATCTCATTCACACACATGGTATCAGCAGAAAAAGAAAACATACAAGCAATGTTGACCAAAACCTTGGATTAACTAACACTAACAAAGTTAGACTGTAGATATAGACTGACCGGGCCAGGCTCCAATGAACAATTTGTATTAAGGTCCAAATATTACTGGGTAATTTGTACCCAGCACTCACCACGTATATAGATAGATACATACACACACACCCCCCCCTTGGAAAAAAACATTAAGGTAAAATCTCATAGACAAAAACCAAACGACTGTAATGTGATTGCCAGCTTATTGCTTCATGCCATTGTCTTGACATCCAATCGAGTTTCGTAATTGCTCTTTTGAAGCTACTAATGTTAAAAAAAAAAATCTCAAGTTCTGGAAGTGGCTGGGAATTCCAGGTTCTAACAGCTATGCTGTAAATACTCATTCGTCAAGGGTTCAAAAGACACTTACTGTCAGAACTGAAACGCAAACGCATGTCAGAAAGACTTGAAACAGAATGACTATAACTCAGAGTTTGGGTTTTCTTTAAATTATGTTTGAAGAGCTCCAAAATGTTTAATTTATTAAACCGGCTTTGATACTACAGTCATAACTTCCACTTTCATGTGCTACAATGGCTCAATTGAACACAGAATACATTAAGCTTAAATTCCACTGCCACTATACACACTTAAGAAAGACATTTTAGTGTTTCTTCACTTAAAGTAATATGCTGTCTCGGTAAATTTGACATGGAAACAGAAGCTGCATGTATTAATAGCAGCAGCCTCTCATGCTGCACACACAACGGTTTCAGACGCCATCACTACTCCAACTACTGAAAAAACGCTAAGTAATCACAACTCCTAGTAGCTGAACACAAGCAGGTCCTAAAAAAAAAGTTCCCCAAAATGACAGATTTGGTTTTTGAAGAACAGTTCAAGTTTTTCCAGACATTGCTTCAATCTCTCCTGGCAGGCCTGCGCTTTGGCATGGCTTCTATTACTTCCCTCTGCCTGGCTTTCCTTGAGGAGGTTGTCATAAGAAAGGCCATATGCCCAGCTGTTTCTCTTTCATACGCCTTTATTTACTGTTCTCTTCCTCTAGCACTGTCACCTCTTAGTGTTAGAAGCACTACTCCAGTCCCACCTAAAACTACATAGGCAACGCTGCAGAGACAGTGGTACCAGTGAAACCCACGCTTAGAACAAAATCACATCCCATGAAGTGTGCCTTGTACCCTTTGGAAAGGCAAGTCAGAGTTGCGGGATCGAGAAACTCAAAGGCTCCCCTCTCAAATGCTGGAAAGACCACAAAGGTAACACCGCCTTCCCTCTAGAGGAGGATTGGGCAGTGAAGGGCAAGGTATAGACTAATACTGTGGACACAATCAACACCTGCTAACTGATAACCAACTCTCAGAAATACAATATCACTACGGTGTTTATCTGCCATCACCACCATGTAATATCCACACACACTGTGTTCAATGCACTGTTGTTTTCTTAAAGCTGCACTCATTTCATCTACTCTACATACACCACTTGCTCATGCACGCAGAAGTTTTCGAACTGCTTAATACCAGTAAGCTACCAGAGTCACAAAGGTTTCATTTAGAAGGTACGTGAGAGTTAAGAGTCTAATTATTTGAAAAGTCCTAAGATTCTATAAAAAGTATTCAGTTACTGGTGTCCTATATTTTGTTACATACAACCTTGCCTTTACCTCAAGTGACACATCCGAGATTACATGTTGATACTATGGGAGAGCGGTTACTGCTCCAAAAGAAACAAAACAAATACCCCAACACCCCCACCTTTGGACTTAAATGCAGTATCGCCACAGTTTTTGAATGTAATAAACCACAGAACGGGTGCCCTGGCATAAAACCAGAATTCTAGGAGGTAGAAAGTAAGTGCTCTCTACCATCGACTTTGTTTTAGTACATACGCATAGGGATTTGCAGCGGTGCCATTTGTCTGAAACATAGTGGAGCAGGGAAAGAAAAGTCAGTCTCTAACCCCCTACGAACAAAGAAACCTAATTTAATTTGAAACAAAAGGAACTAAATTTATCATTCTAAGACAGCCCCAGGACGTCCAAGCATGAAATGGAAGAAAAGGAGTTGCCAAAGACATGCAGAACAAGCTTTTTAAAGTTACCTGGAATCGGGATATTTTGTAAGCGTGGCCAAGCTGCTGGTATACATGTGCCCACCCACATCAATGTGAACTGGTGCGTTGGATTTTGTGAGCTGTGCTGGAGTGGGGATGCCTTGATTGTTCAATGGAGATGCAGGGGATCTAGTGATCAGAGGTCTTGACATATTGGGCCGACTGTCCTGTGAAGAGATAGACCTGGGTTAATGATCTCCTTAAAAACCTCACAGAAACCCACAGTCTCGAGTCAATAGCACTGTCTCATAGTCTCGGCTTATGATTTTCATCTTATTAAAGCACAGACAAACATTTGGCAGTTTTTAGAATCAGTCCAGCTCTAAGAGTATTAGCTGGCTACCGTTTTAAATAAGTGGGGCAAAATGCAGTGATAAAACCCACAAAGTAGAAATCATGTTCAATAAAACAAGTTCTTCCTGAATACTGCTCGTGACAGACAACCCATACCAAAAAAAAGCTCATTCTCATATTTAAGAGCTGATAAAGGCTCTCAGAGAAAGAGCTGCAGACAGAAAGACCAAGAAAAAATACTATTTTCCTTAATTAAGATGACCCCAGGTAGACTTTCTGTTCCTTCCCAAGCCCTCTGTCACTGCCGTACAGTCAGAACAGAAATACAAACCCTCAACTCCTCCATCCTGCACACTCTTCTCTCGAATTCCCAATTCACATAGCACGGAAACAGAAGCAGAAACACCTGGACTAGTCAACTGCTCATGGACTGCAGACCACTGGACATCGACAGCCTTTGAGAAAGACATTTTCCATTTAAAAGTTATACGTATGGCGACAGATGCCCCCGCGTGCCCCGCATAGGCTGCAGGTCTGAGCGACTTCCCGAGGCAGGCGAGCTCCGAGAGCGGAGCGGGAGCCGATGCTTTGCTGATGAAACCAACTTTTAGTCACAAAGGAAGAGATGTAACGCCAGCAAACAGCAGACACAGCCTGCGCGCGCGGCGGGTGGGGCAGGGCAGGGCGATTTGCTGGAGCCAGTAAGGCAGGCTGCATTCAAAGTTGGCGATTAAAATAGAAATGCATTCGAGAGCGGTTTTGAGACAACCCCGCTTGCGACTGAAGGAAAGCTCCATACGGGGTGGAATCTTACAGGGATGCCTTGAGAACTAAAAGTCCTTGCAAATTACAAAGTTTTACACTTAAAAGGTAAGCAAAGCAGCGAGAAGTCAGATACACTTCATCACAAAACTCTCTTTGTTCTTTCGACACGTCTTTCAGCCGTGAAAGGTAATGGATTCCTTGTAAACATCTCGGCAGAGCTGGGCAGCAAACCTCGCAGAAGCGGAGCACGACCGTGAGAGAGTTACGGGGTATTCGGACCAGCAAAGCCCTTCACTGCCGAAAACATCATTTCTCCATTTTTCATGGCTGTTAAAAGATTCAAACCATAAAGGCAACACGAGCCAGGTAAATGTCTAACTGAAATGATTTACAGGCCAGCGTTGCACAATAAATCCAAGTAATACGTAACAAAAGGCATCTATAAACCACAAGGTACTTAACTAATTTTCTTTCATACGCAAAAGCAAGCTTAGGTCAAATACCGATAAAAACGAAGGGGATGAAGAAAAACATCTAGTTTAGATGTTGGGGGGGGGGAGGGTTGGTTTTTCTTCTGTTTCTTTATAAGCAGAAGTTAATATAAATCTGCAGAAATACCATGCTTAATCACTACAATTGCTTGAGGAGGTGCCTGCAGCGCAATGAAGACAAGTCCAGACAAAATAAGGTACACACGCTATGCAAAACTAATGTCTGCTATAAATGCCATGTGGTACTATAACCACCACCCAAGATGCTACTGATCTGGAGTATGATATTCAGTAAAATAATGAAGAAAAAATTAAAAACAACAACTGGAAAGGTGAAACTGAGAAAGCAAGGAGTGATACAAACCGGGGCGGGGGGGGAGGCACGGGGAGAAGCACGCGTTGGACAATTAGCAGGAGGACAGCAGCGGGTGTGACGAAGGGAACACATTTCAGTGCTTAAAATCAGAAAAACAGTTTAAAAAAAAAAGTCATCATCAACGAAGGCTGAGACTAAAACAAAAAACAAATTCTGTAACTTGTATGAGACAGAAACCACCAGCTCCCTTCGCAGGACCCTCTCTGGCAGAAAAACACAGCCCTGTTGCAATTCAGCACACTGCAGCACCACCGAGTCTCTAATAGTTTTTCAATTGGACACATTCTCCTGTATACCCTGCCTGGGGCTGCTCGGGAGAAAATGAACAGATTTGCAGGGTTAATATTGTAGTTAGGCTGGGACCTCCTTCAGCATAGCTGCGATAGCACCGGCTGCATGAAATGGTACAAGAATGTGTGTAGTATAAACATCACTGCCAGGATGGGAGATAGGTCAAAGGATTGTACGCATTTTACAAGGCAGGGGGAAAAAAAAAAATCACCAAAAAACCAAAATCTATAAGAAAAGGGAACCAGTTTCCAAAAACTAAATGTAACCAAGCTGCCATTTACAGTTTACCTACTAAAACTCCCAAGAAATAAAAATGCTTTATAATAAAACCTTTTGCTGTCTTTTTTTACCCTCCTCCTTTTCAACATTCCCCCTTCAAGTTACCTGCATTTATTGTGCCTCAAGAAACAACGCCCATCTGCTCAATGTTTAGCTATTAAATACAATAATGCTAGCCTTGCTCCAGCCTTAGCTCACGAAGCACATTTCCCCTGGATAAAACCAGTTCACTACTGTTTTGGAGACCACTTTGAAATTAGGCAATGGTATTTCTACTGCAGTTGCCCCAGAGAAATTAAAGCAGAAACTGGATTCAGAGAACCAGATGCTTAAAAAAGTTTCTTTTATGTGGCACAACCCACTAGTGCAGCCACAGCACAGAAGATCACCATCCAATAGGTATGGAACTAAGACCACTGACATTTCGTTAACAGATCAGAGTTAAACCACTGCATTAGTTAAGCCACTGTATTGTTTCAGCTATGGAAAGGATAACACAGGGGCAAACAGTCTCTCTGAAGAAATACACTGCTTGCGTTGGATTACTGCAAACACAGAAGTGACAGGCTTAGGTAAAAAGTGGTTAGAACAAGGCACTGCTGGTAAATTAAGCTTCTACTACCTAAAGTGATTATAAATATAATTCCTTAGAAACAATTACAGGAGGAGAGAAGGGAGTTGTAGAAACTAAACTCAATGGGATCCAGCAAGCTATCTAGAACAGCTGATGACAAAAAGGATGAAAAAGCTCTTCAGAAGCCTTCCGTGGTATGCTTGGTGTCAGGCAGGTGAGACCGGCACCCAGGAAGGGTTTATAGCTCAGCCGTGGCTGTTCCCACACGGGAGATCACAGAGGTTGTCGTCTGCCTCAGGAACCGCACCAACTTTATTCACGAGTGGGACACAAAGCACAGCTAGAGCCTGTGCAGGCTGGATGGGCAGCAACATTCCTGATCTGACCACAGCCCGTTTTCCACTTGGTACCTTTTCTTCTCAAACATTTTAACGTTGACCCTACAAAAAATCAAATAAGAACAGGAAATCCCAGGTTTTACAATGCTTCCCGTGGACCAAAACACTTGAAATACCCTGTAAAACATTTATCATTATTAGTACTCAAAGATTTTTTTGCAACAACTTTTCAAAATAATGAGTTCTGATTTCCAATCAGAATGAATTTATTACTGAAACTACATACTCGAATGTGCTAAAATCTATGTGCTAGGCAGGTTAAAAACATTTAGGTCATAGAAAACTTTTCAGTTTTGGTTCAGCATACAAAACCACTGCTCTATTAAAGCAGTTTGGGGCTCCTCCACTTTCTTGCCGATATTTGAAGGAGTCTTTCAACAACAAGCAGTTGGTAGGCCCAGGTCTTTTGAGTATATCTGAACGTGCTTCTCATTTTCTGCCCTGGGCAAGCCCTCCCGTAGGCTCAACCCAAGCAAAGGTAGCCCTGCCTAAACTCCTCCTCTCTGGGATTTACAAAAATCCTTAGGATTTAGAAGTCTTTCTACCAAAGGGGATTGAGGATCATGGAGGATAGCTTTCAGATCTCTTCTCCTCCCTGCCTTTTTCTTCTATACCACCTCCTCCGCAACTCCATTCAAGAATATAGTTAAAGAATAAGCCTTTACATCTGGGTTGAAAAAACACAGTAGCTGTGGGGCTGAGATGTGCACCCATGCAACTGGTCTACCAAAGAACAACACAAGAACCATGTCAATCTTCTGGTAGCAAGTGGAAGAAATAAGAGATATCTGAAGAACATGAGTTATACAACATGCTGCTAAGTGTGCAAAAATCAAAGAGACAGGAGGCTTCCTCCTCTCCTCAAAATACTCGCTCATGTTAGACTGCTATGATTAGCAGTGGTTTCAGAAGTGTTATTTACACTCTGTGGTCTTAAGTCATTCCAGTCCCCTTCTTAAGCCAGAAACCTTGACAAAAACCATGCCACTACAAGACAACCTGAGCTCACTCACAGAAGGACTGACATTCATGTACAAAACATCTAGTTGACTCACCAGACTGTGGGGATCATTTTACGTTGTAGGTCAAAGCATTGCTGGCTAGCATTATTATAGCCAACATCTTCCCCGTGAGCCAGCCCAGCTCAAGCAGGAGTGTATACATGCTACTCAATATACTGTAGCTTTAGCCTTTGATTCAAATCCTAAAATTATCGGATGCTCCCAGCCCAAGCAATTATCGCTGCTGAGAAACTCAAAGTTACATATTTCAAACTCTTGGATTTTTTGGGGGGAAGTGAGGGCAAGCTTGTCTCATCTAGCCCGGACATTAGAAATGATAATCATGCAGTAGTTTATTCTAAAGCATCAAATCTATCTGTATTCATTATCTTTTTTTCACAACAGAAAGCCACGAGACAGATGTTTCTCCTCACAAAAGCCTGGTGCCCAGGAACAGCTGGCAGCAGCAGTCAGCACATCCGCATCAGCCACCTACAGCAGAAAAGTCTCCTCTGAACACATACATCCCACTGTATGGGGAACGAACCCAAACAGCGAGCAAACCTCAGAAGTTGGAGAAAAATCCCTTTTCCTTCAGTACAAAGCAGAAATCACTCAAGTGTCATGGACAGCTATGCGCCCGACTCCGAAATAAACAGCAGGCTGATGCTTAGGGGTGCTTGTGGGATGCGGGAAAG